GTTCGCTGGGCTGACTGGCACCAGCAGGACCCGTTGAGGCAGAAGCTGGCCGTTTCTGGCGCTTCGGATGACTCGTTCCTGGTGATTGCAGTTCCTCAGAAAGTTCACCAAGAAAGGTATTCATTTCTTCTTCAACACAAAGGTCACCATCATCATCTTCTGCATCCCCGTCCCCTGAACTTTTACAAATTTCCTTGAACAGATCACATTGCATCTTTTCCTCTGAATTACTTTCGTTGCACTGCCGCCACTGCGCACTGCAGCTTTCACGCACCTGCACGTTAGTGCTGTCATCACTCGGACACTTGAAGTGCAATATTCCGGACAAGTTAAGAGGACCCACCACATCGGCAGAAGACGTGTTCCCGAACGGCGTTATTGCAACATTCTTTTCTCGTGCTTCTCCGCGTACCCCCTCGCCAAAGCACAACGCAAGGGCCATTAGGCCAAGTAGCACGCGGTACAGCGCCGCCCGCGTCCCCGCCATCCGTAGAATGCCTTGCTTTCCCTTGCTGTGTATAGCTGCGCTGCCAAGCTCGAAGGTCATCAAGCAGAAGCAGAAGACAACGGCAAAAATCAGCAGCGAAAAAGTGCGCCCCGGCAAACAGCCTGCGTGCGGTTGTGTTGCTTCATCCAAGTAACAGGTCGATAAATAAATGGTGCTTATTAGCGAAAATATTGTGAGGACGCACAAAAGCAGAGACAAAAAAATGATATTGCTGATGGTTGGCGACGTGCTGCGTCCTTGTGAGCTCCTCTGAAGTTGTGGTCACCCTTCGCCACCATAAGTTTATGGGGGCCGAAGTCTGTTTTTTTTTTTGCATTATTATTATTGGTTTCCTCTTTTCTTTCATTTTCCATAAAAAGAAGGATAACAAAAAAAAAAGTTGAGGGAAGGGCAAACGACAGGTGTGGCCTGCAGCGCAGTCAGCGAGCAACACAAATGAGGCTGCAGGCCCCGAAGGAGTGAAATCACTTACACCAGAAGCCAACAGTAGTCGGAAGCATCGCGTGTTGGGCCGGCGTTGCGCTTCTTATACGAAGAGGCGCTTGACTTCTTAAGGCCTCAGCGGGCCCCAATGTGCGAGGCACTTAATACACGATTCATCCAAAGGCCGTCTCCCAAGTGGTGGATGTTTTCGATGCAGGGGCCGCTATTCACCCTCTCAATTTCTTCCGAGGACATGAGTGTCTTTCCGATCGCCACGGCATGCTCCTTGGACTCCACGTACACCGCCACCACCTGCCCGGCAGGAATGTTCGGCGTGATGTAACCCCCGTTGGAGGTGAGTCCTGGGCACATGATGTTTGCCCCCGAGACGACGTATTTGCAGGCCCCAATGTCAACTTGGTGGCGTGGAAGTATGAAGGGGTACTTGTGAAGAAGTTTCAGGTGTGGGATGTAGGGCCCATTGTGGTGGTTAAAGAAAAGTACCTCCGGTTGCGCACTGACAAGCGTGACGCAGTGGACCTGATCGTGGCAACGCACCAGCATGACATCCGACTTTTTGGGCATTATCTCTTCCCAAAATTCTTCCAGCTGCGGGTACTGCTCCGCCAAATCCTTTCGCACCTGCGACTGCTCCTTATGGCTGATGTTCGCAATTTGTGCAACATTCTGCAGAGTAAACTTCTTAAACAAATCCGCTGACGACATTGCAGAGAATTCCCCCTTTACCTGAAAAAAAAAAAAAAACGCACAAAAATGAAGAGAAAGGGACAAGGGTAAAGACGGACTTTCACGGTATACAACAGCAGTAACAAACAAATGCATACATATGTATACATGTATGCTAAACAATAAAAACAAAAACACACACACACACACAAGCTGGTACTTAACCCCGTGTGTGTACCACCATGGCCGCAAGGCATGTTAGCCGCATTACAGACATGGTGCCGCTGTAGCAAATTTAGGTGCAGAGGCAGAACAAATTAAAGGCAGATAAACGGAAGATTCACTGGGATCTCTAAAACGACTTCACTGTTAGAAACTTCATCATTTTTCCCAAAAAAATGCGAAGCTCCAGATGTCTCTCTGGCCATTCTTCCATCGCTGCTCAGGAAGAAAACGAAGAGTTTTCTGCGGCCGACATAGTCTTTGCGCCAGACTCCAACAGCGCGGTCCGAAATGTATCCATGCACTGCTCGGCTCGCTGGACCATAGCTTCAGTTCGCTGCAAGCTACTTGCGACGGCGCTTTCAAGGGAGCGACACGCTGCTTGGCTCGTTGCCACTATTTGGGCTTGCGCCTCTTTTATATCATCGTGAAGAACATTCAAAATACTGGCAGGAGTTTCTGCGTCACCCACTCTTCTGGGACGCTCGTTGGCCGGGGGCAGCGGCGAGGAACAAGTGCCCTCTTGCCTCAACTGCAGTAACTGACGCAGCAAGGTTGCACATTCATCACCGCGGTGCTGCTGACCCACACACATCGGCTCCTCGCCCCGAAAAAACGACTTGATGACAGCGTCACCGTCACTAATGAATGAGCACTCTTGCCGTTGTGGCCCCTTGTCAATTTCGTTTTGATGACGAGGACGCGTGTAAACACCTTCCCGCCCGCCCTGTGGAACTTCATCTGCGTGGCGTTGGGAGTAATAAGGAAGACTGGGCTGTGGAATAGGCATCGTCTTCGATGTTGGCACAAAGAGTTCTTGCAGCTGCCGCTGACGCAGCTTCTTCTTACTCGGTTGCTGCGGGTCCTCTTGCGGTCGTGTTGCAAAAAGGGTCATCGCCTCTTTCAGCCGCTGACGCTCAAACGCGAGATCCTTTTCAAGGCATCTTATGGTTGCCTCGGCCTGAGTGAGGCGGTGCTCGAGGCTTCGAGAGGCAAGCTGCATACTGTCGCGTTCCTCCCGCAGCGTGATGGCTTCTTGGCGGGAGCTCTCCAATTTTTTTTCGAGTCCCTCCACGTACTGCGAGTTGATCCGTTGCACCACGCCGCCGCTTTGCTTCTCCACTAACTCCTCCTTGAGGACCGACTGCGACCAAAGGGTGAACTGCAGGGCAAGCTGCATGACACTGAGAAGCTGATAGACATCCGTCGTGCCTGTGGTGGGTGACGTCGCACCGACGAGGCTGCAATCGGAGAGAAGGGAAATTAAGTTCTTCATCATATGCAATTCCGGCTCCTGCACCCGGTGCGCCGCAACATCGACGCTGCGCAGGTGCGTCCACGGGATCTCACGGGCACCCGTGACGTAGCGGAACGCTCGCAGTCGGTCCGCCACGCTCATTCGCCCCTTGCCAATCCCTTGAATGAACGCGTTCTATGCGGCCTGCTGTGTTCTCGCCGCGTGCAATTTGGCCCCGCTCTCGCTGCAAACACCACCGCCAACAACGCACACACGGATTTCACCCCCCTTTTATTTTCCTTTTGTTTTGTGCTTATGTGTGTTTTCATGGCAGGGATAATAAAAGGAGTAAAGGATGCGGCGGTCAAAGTCTCCGTGTGATGGCAGAAGAAAAAAAAAAACCATCGCAGGGACGTCTCGCCCAAAGATCAGTAGCTGCAACGAGAGCCAAACATCACACGGTCAGAACGAATCGTGCAGACGTGAAAGCACACACAGGCAACTAAAAGAACGACAAAGAAAGAAATAAGTGTTTTCCCTTCTTCTCCCACAAAATAGAGAGATAAAAGCGTAGGGCGCGTCAGAAGAGAGCAGACTGATGTTCACGTTTACCTGCACGAGCGCTCGCGGCCCCTGTAATTGCGCTTGCGCCACCCTTCACGGTCTGACCAACAGTGTAAATTCCCTTCCCTACTCCTTTCGCCACAAATTTGCCGGCCCCCTCGATGCCTGCAAGAACCTGATTGGTTTTTGCCCGCTCCGCCGCCTCCTTGCGCCCGATCCACAACAGTAGCTCGTCGGCAATATGTTTGGACTGCAACGGAAACCGCTGTGCCGCGGGCACACTGCTAATGGCGGCACCAATACGCTTCTGCCACAGAGGGATTTGTATTGCGCACATCAATTCAAACTCCCGCACGCAGTCACGCAGAGCGGCAAAATCGCTGGTGGTGCCATCACGGCATCCGCCATGAATTGCGCTCTCCAGATTTGTCTGCGTCGTGATGGCTGCATGGGCAACGACAGTGCCCAACACACTACGCACCACGGACACCTGAAGCACCGCCGTTAGCTTCGGGATCATGGAAATAACATACTCCATCGCTTCCAGAAGGCCCTTCTCATCGTCGTCCTTGCTGTTTGCCCTTGTCGCCGTTGCCGGCGTCGCAGCACGCCGAACCTCAACAAGTCCCTTCCAGTAATCCAGTTCCGCAACGGGCCGCAGACGATCCTCCGTCTCTGCAATGAACGCGGTGAGAAGACGTTCAATGCCCTTCTGCACGGCCTTCTCAAAAAGTGTCGCTGAACTGGCTAGCAGCCGCGGCGCGCCAAGTGTCTCTCGTTTGCCCTCGTCATAGTCAAAGTGCCACGCAAGTACAAACTGCTGCTCCACGCACGAGACAATAACACTCATCGTTGCACACGAAGTGACAAACACCGCAAGCTGCATCACAGCACGCTCAGCAACGGTGGCCAGATGGCTATGCAGAAGTTCTGCCACGGTTCTAAACAGCACAGAGAGGTACTTGAGAAGCATTTCATCCACGTTATTGAGCTCGGACTGACGCACCACAGCGCTCTCATCCATCACCAGAATGGAGTGGCACTGTGAAAGAAAACGTAATGCTATGTCACCAATCACAGGAACCATGAGGGCGTAGGGCAGCGTCACACTTCCTGAAGTAAACCCAGCTGAGGGTAGTGGAAGTTCAATGGATTTACAACGATCCAAGTAAAACCGTGTCACGTACTCATGATACTCGCCGAGAGTCGTCGCAGTCAATGGCAAAAGCGTCTCTGTGAGGACGCCCTGAGTTGCCTCCACACAGGCCTCCTGCAACCAAGAGCTAATGATGCTGTCACTCATAGACTCCACAACGAGTGACAAAATCAGAGGGCTCAGTCGCACACTCTTGACGCAGTCCACAACAATGCTGATAAAACTGCGCAAGAGACAAAAAACATCCATCATCCTTGCTGTATAGTTGGGGTCGCTAACAAGTAGCGTGGATATGTGTCGCGCTCGATCCGCCATAGCCTGCGACAGCTTTTCCCACATGCAGATTATCTCTGTCGTTGACCGTACATGCGGCTCCGTAATGTTGTGCACAATGTCTTCAATCAGTACAAATCCCAGCGCCGTCGCACAGTATCTTTCCAATTCTGCCACAAGAGCATCCCCACTAAGCGCCTCAGAGGAGACAGGCACCTCATAAAGGTCTAGTTTTGCTTGCTGCATACGACTTTCGGCGTAATAATTGCGGTAGTATGTCCCATGACAAAGCTCCTCAAACACCTCTTGTAGTGAAGCTCCATATATAATATTTGAAATACTAGATGACTCTGTGAAGGGGGCACGCCTGATGCAGGCTCTCACGTAACTCATTTCCACCCACCACTCGCCCTCTTCCGAAATTCGTAATTTCTTCTCGATGGATCCTGTTTTCACAGTTCCCTCCCATTTTAGGGCGGCGGCGCCAATAGGCAGCGAGGAGTCTCGCAGCAACTTTAGCCATGCATTAAAGTCATGTACGGCGGCCGTAAAAATGTCCTGCGATAGCTGTGGCACCCGGTGATGAATCACATACTCACCGAGCGCGTATTCTGCGAATGGCGCTGCCACCCGCATAAGCTGCTTCAAGGACACCACGGCCCCCAGCAGCTGCTGTTTCTGTACCCGCATTTCCACAGTCTCCAGCATCTCTGCCAACTCCATTGTGCTGCGCAGTATGGACACAACCTGTGCAACGTTTTGCTTGACACAACGCGACAAATTAAGGTCAGCGGCCGACCGTTTCATCTCCATCACCGAGGAACGGGCGAGTGTGGTGGCGCCACTGAGTTCCTGCCCCACCAGCTCGGCGTCTTGCTCAGAAATGGAAAAGCACTGCCGTGCGGCATGGAGGAAGGCCGGATAATGAGTCTCGCACAGCTTCTCCACCTGTCCCTCATTCTCTTTTACAAAGGCAGCGAGGTCCTCCTGCAAGATGTCCTCCTCGTTGCGAAGATATGCATTCTTTAATGCGGTGTAATCTGTAAACTCTCCATCCACCAGAGATGCCACAGCAAGGTACCTTGATGGAGCCTTTTGAAACAGGCTGCTCGATTCCCCTTCCCTCGGCCGCTGCAGGAGGACTTGTTGTTGTCCCCATAAGGGGCCAGCGTCATCTTCGCTACCTTCACTGTCGGCACCACTCCATTCATCCTCCGCGTCTTTCGTTTCCTGCGTTGCATTCTGTGCAGGATAACTTTCGTCATTTTCCAACTGTTCTGTGCGCAGTCGCGCGCTCGCGGCAAGCTTTTGAAGGCACCGCTCCGTAGTTGTCGCTTCCAACACGGAGGCGCACTCCAGTTTTACCATCGTAAACCCCGAGTCCTCGCTGTCTACTGCGTCGGGTACAGCTTGGCTAGCGTTCTGCAGCTGCCGCACCTGCGACGACTCAGGTGCTCCAATGGAAATGATATTTTTAGTAGAGCTGACCGTCAGCAGCTTATTCTGCCACCTGGCGTAAAACGAAATCCCCTTTGCCTTGACTAAGTAGACATAATAGGGTGTTGCGACGAGGAACACCTTCTTCAGCCTGCCATGGCGATGGATGCGTAAGGACTCCTTTGTGTAGTAAATAATATGTGGACTATCCCCCATGTCCCGCAAAATACTTTGCAACTTCTCATTCTGCCTGGCGTCTGTTTCCACCTCCATGCTACTCTTACTCTTTCTGCAGGGCAGACCCACCCCTACTTCCCCCCTCCCCACGACGTGCGGAGTATCACCCTTAGCAACGCCAAACAAGCAAAAAGAAGAAAAAAAGACAAAATGTCGTAAATAACATTGCACCATGACATAAAACATATACACTCCCATCACCACCACCAACTAATTTCCACCGCACGCGTCAACTCCTCTCTGCTTGCTTGTTGCTGCTGTTTGCTGCGTGTCGCAAATGTATTTCGCTGCCTCCCATTTGCTGTGGCCGCTCAGCAGGCGTGTCGTGTATACGGATCTCACCAAAACAAAACAACAGGAACAAATAAAACGTAAACGCACAAACAACGTAAATAGAGCGGTCATTAGACCTTCATCTTTTCATGCCCTGTCCCCTTAAAGAAGGGGAAACAACAGCAGACGTGTCATACCGTTGAACACACTTTACAGAACTTACAGAAACACTTCGTCTTCTTCTGCTTCCCAGGCGGCGGCATGTCCGGAACTGGAAGATCCGGTGGCGGGGGAAACTCCACAATGAAGTTATCCGTACTCAACCCGAGGTCCCGCACCGCAGCCGGGGACGGCAGCGTAACTTCAACCCCAACTGTGGGTGGCCAGGACTCAGGCACTTGTTTGTCCTGTACGGATTTCGGCGGCGGCATCCAGTTTTCACAGAGAAGGTTTTTAAACTCGGTATGCTCCAACACACGGGAGTTGGGCAGGTACCACGCCGCTGTACGACTCACAGGCAAAGGGTATTGAAATCCAGGATCGACAGGCATCTCCCTTGTGTCTCCGCCGCCTTTGTTGCTCTCTACTACGCCTACTGCGGTCGCACTGCTGTTTGATATTTGTGACACTGACTTCGGCTGCACAGTTACAAGAGTGGGTAAGGTAACATTCACAATCTTCGGGGGAGGGCTGGGCTCCACAGAGGGTGCTGTGCCGTTCCCATCATGCGTGGGACCATGCACCTTCTTCTTTTTACCCGGTGAAGACTTATCACCCCCCGTTCCGCAACTCGAGTTTTGCGTTTCGGTACTTTTCCTGCAAGCATCCAACGGCTTTTCACCCGCTACCTTGTTTTTCTTCCCTCCACTAGAGGTGGACTGCGGGGACAGCTTCTTATGGTCTTCAAGGTCGTGACAGGCGACGTTCGTCGGCGAAGACGCTCCGCTCGCGCGTATTGCGCTCAGACTGGAGGTGGACGACGCCGCGGCTAGTGACGTCCGCACCCGTCTTGTAAACGTCTCGTCACGCTCAATTGTAAGGGGCCATCCACCGGTAGCATCCTCCGTTGCGGTCTCCGTCTGAACTACCGCGTCCAAGCACCTTCCCGCGGGCATCGTGGGGCATTGTCGGAGTTGCTGCTGTTGCTGTTGCCACTGCTGCAGTGCAGTAAAGGGCATTCCGCCAGGGGGTTGCGGCGACTGTAGCGGCGGTTCGCGCTTGACAGCAGGTACGGCGCGTTGCATCTGCGGCCCACCAGGATGTCGAGAGGTGGTGGAAGTTCCATTCAAAGGGGTTTGCAGCGGCGCCCCACCAGCAGCACAACCCCCGACGTACGCACTAATACGGTTCATTCCATCAATCACATCGACAGGCTTATGAATGACGTAGTCATCTAAGCTGTGAGCATTGGACCGCTGCATCACGAGCTCTCGCGGCCTAGAAAGGCTTGTGCTCTGCACTTCCTCGTCCTGCTTAGTCAGCAGCTGTGAAATATTCTTCTTAAGATCCCGCACCAACTGTGCCTTCTGCTGCGCCAGCAAAAACTCCTTCTCGCGCAACTCACACTCCTCATCAAAGATGCGCTCCAGCGGCGCCGTGACCGCGCTGCCGCAATCGTTCTCTCCGCCTGTCACAGGCTCGCTTGGCAGAACCAGAAGCCCTTCACCCCGCAGGGCACCGGACCGTGCAGATCCTTCCGTGCCACTCAAATGCTTTGC